ATCACAGACCTGAGAAAAATGGCCACGAAACGTCGCGCACACGACGTGCATCACTCGTAACTGAAAATGTACATGGAAAATGTAATGTACATGAGAAGTCGTGAACAGCGCGAAGTACCTGTCAGAATGTAACATAATACAATGTATCCTAGTATAATCCTACTGCTAAAACCTCTCGTACCAGATGTCGAAAAAAATACAAGAAACAGTAGTCTACAAGTCGTGTCGTAGCTGCCGAGATACTGTACTGTACTCAGTCTGCTGTAACCAACGCTAATCTACAAACACCCTACTGGTACCAAAATCATACACACAAAAAACGAAGGATACAACAACTATAGCACGCACACTACCACTGACTCACTGAGTGTCTAATAATACGAAGACAAGGCGACACGACCAGAAAAAACAAGACCTCACAACATGATGAAGAACGGTGCGAGTAGGGGAAAAAAGGAGTGCTGGCCTCACGGTCAACGACCTTTCTTCCCCTTCCCGCTCCCTCTCCTCGCACCCCCTCGAGTGCCAGATGCCGACCTCCTCCTCCCTCGTGCGGACGAAGAAGTCTGCGCAGCGGACCGTCTAGATGCACGCGTCGGCGGGGGAGGTGGGGGGCCTGGGGGCCCATCGTCGCCGTAGTCGTCGTCACCGCCGGAACCGATCTCGCTCTCCTCCTCACCCTCCTCCTCGCCCTCGTAGTCCTTGTCCTCCTCCCTCACTGCCGCATCTGTCTCAGGATCATCCTCCTCAATAGTGACAGGGCCTCCTCCCTTCCTCAACAAAACAACCCTCGCACTAGCCTCACCAACCGTCTGCTGATGGCGGGATCCAAGAGGCATCCCCAACCCCTCCACCCCCGAACTCTCTCCAAGCGCAGCACCACCCTCTACATCCACAGGGCGAGGACGAGGAGGCACTCCACGCTTGCGCGGAGTCTGCTCCTGCACAGCACGCGTCGCTGCTCTGAGAGCGTGCTCCAAGGTGTCGGCGGACAGTCCTCTACCACGACCTCGCTGAGGCTCACAACCGGATGCTGGCACCTCCCTCGCTGCGGTCATCCTGGCGCCAACTCCTCCCAAGCCCGGCTGAAGGCGTGCAGTGTGCTCCGTGACATGGTGGGTAGAATCCAAATCTATGTCTGTCCTCCCGAATATGGACGTGTCACACACGTCCCGCAGAACTGCTGTCGTGTCACGAATCCTCGATCTCCCGGGCGTCTGTGGGGATCGAGAGCCTCTGCCTGTGGGCGACGATGATGGATCGCCTACGGGTGGTCTAGGAGGAGGGGGTGGCATGTCTCCTGTATGTGGCACTGTCTCCTGCACACCACTCGAAACCCCTGGAACATCTCCCGCAGTACGTCCTCCGGTGGAGGTAGACCCAGACCACACGGCCGACGCAGGACCCCATGCTGGATGCTCGAGCCTCCTGTCAAAGATCCGTCGGTCCAATCGATTAACATCACGCACAACATCTCTCGCCAACTTATCTGCATCCAAAGGACAATGGACCTCCTGCGGAGCAAAGGGACTAGGAGGACGTGGAGGCACCACCACCGGCTCGGACCCCATATCCGTGATAACAGGCGGTGGCACACCATGCACTACCACCTGAACCGGCTGCGGCTGTCGGCCCTGAGCCAAGTGCATGCCCGAGAAAGGAACGATTGGACCCATCGCTGTCTCTTGAACCACGGGCCGTGCGTCTATAGCCCCCTCATCTCGCCGCTGTCCTGCCTACACAGCCTCATCCGCCGCTTGTGGACGGCGATCCACAGGAACATCCACTGCCTCTGGCCCACCCTGTATAGCCTCATTGTCCGCCTCTGCTGCTACTCCCTCCATAACGTCCTCCCTAGCCACCACCCCACCCTGCACACCATCCCCCTTAGTCTCTCGACGCCTGGCCTCCTCCAAGGCCCATGCGAACGCCTGAGCACGTGGGTTACTCAATGCCATAAGTCGATCCCTCTCTCGCTTCATGATGTCGCGTGCTGTATCTGGAGACTCTGCCTGCGTACTCTCCATCAGGGTCTGTGTCTCCGTCGCGTCAGCTGCGTCGTCCCGTGATGGCGCCCGATCCGTCGATGTCGCCCCGCCGCAAGTAGGTGGAGGGCCCATCGACAAGTCGAAGTCGAAGTGCGTCCCCATCTCTGACCCCGCCCCCCCTATGGGAGCAGAAATCCCCAGCTCCATCGCCGCCCCCCGGGTAAAACCCCGTACGACTGGATCGACCTCCACCGTGATGAAGCACCGCACGAGCTGCTTATCGGTGCCTACACCGTCATGATCCATAGGAACGGCCTCCTGCGGCCTCGCTGCCGCTACCTCCTCCTCAGCCATCCCCTGTGCTGGCACCTCCTCCCTTGTTGTCGAGATTGCTGGTGCCTCCTGCGCTGTTGTTGCCACATCCCCCTCCTCCTGTAATACCCCCGGGGAAGGTGATCGTAACCTCAGTTGTCGAACCACCGTCGATCTCTGCAAAACCCCCGGCGGAGGCAAGGAGGATGCCAACTCCTCCGTCTCATGTGTAGTGGCCGGCTGAAGAGGCGAGACGGGGATGGGCGCTGCAGAACTCGACGCAGGAGGTGGGTGAACAGCCGGCTCTCGCCCGGCAGGAGTAGGAGTCGGTCACCCCGCCTCTGCACGGCTCGTGTCGGCATGAGAGGCCCCGCCTCTGTTAGCACGCGCATCACCCGTGGAAGCCACCTCCCCGAAAGGGCCCCATAGATCCTCGTCCCCCCCTTGCATCTCCTCCTCTGCCCGGTCCGCTGCCCGCTGAGCCGTGTATATCCTCACCTAGGCATCATTGGCCTCCTCATGCATCTCGTCGATCTCGCTCGGGATGGGCAGGGCAGGGTCATCTACTCCCTCCGGTGTGGGCTCCTCATCGGAGTCATCGTTCCTGGGGTACGGATGGAAAATGCAAACACGTCTCTCAAAAACGGCATCAGCGGATGGTGGTGCAGAAGACCCGATAGGATCGCGCGTAATAAGCGCAACCTGCTCTGCAATCTCCGCCGCCGTCATCCCCTGGCGAGTGCCCATGCGCACTGGCTCAACCTCCAGTCCTGCCTGGCAGTCCAACATCCCCTCGTCACGCTGCCATGGCAGCACGTAACCGCATCCTGCCCGCCGATACTCCGTCAACCGCACATTTGCGGTGATCTCAACGAGCTGCACGACCTTCTCAAAGGCCACTTCTTCGTGTGGATGCCCTCGTGGACTGCCCAGTTCCTCTCCGCTGGAGAGGCGCAAGACCACATGTGCATCACACGAAGAGCGCACCGCTGCAACTCAGGGGCGCGAGCCCCGTACTGGGACCACCAAGACGCGCACTCGATAGTCTCGGTGTCACCGCTACACGCGCGCCTGACTCCGCGTCAACGTACGTCGGGGCTGCCAGGGCTCTAACCTCAGAGACCATCCCTGCAGAATTGAGGAGGATCACTTGGCTCCCATGCTCGGTCCATGTGTGCAACAAATTGTTGTCAGACATGGGGACGTGTTGTGAAGCGTTTGTTGATACTATCACATGCGCTCGTGTGCTGGTGGTGTTTTTCAAAACCCACCAGGCGGCCCTTCATTGTTTTAGGAAGCGCAGCCCCAACCTCGGTCTTGTTCTTTCATGCGAGACGCGGTTTGCGTCTGTGTACTCCATGTTGGAAAGACTCATGGCCCTGCAGGACAGTTTGCAGGACATGATGCGAGGGGATGACGCGCGGGTTTTTACCTCCATCCCGTGGTCTGCCGATGTTTGTTACATGGCGTGTTGGGTGCACCGACAGATCTGATGGGATCCTTGGTGGCAGAGGGTGGCCACCATCGTCCATATCATGGAGCCTGTGATGCAGTTGCTCCGACGGATGGATCGTGGAGGGCAGTTCATGTCGCTCGTGCTCGAGTGGGCACAGGATCTTGTGCAGCGGGTGAAGGAGGCATGCGCTCCTTTGGGGTCCTCGATCGCAGACCGGATCATCAGGCGTGTGCAGGCACGCTCACAGCACATGCTAGAGCCGGCCCATTGCGTTGGGTTCTTACTGAACCCCCGCAGGCGACATGTTCGATATTTTTCCGGCGAGGTGCAGGAGTACCATGCTTGGATTGTGAGACAAGCCAAGAGGTACATTCTGACGCAGACAGGTTTCGATTTGGAGGGTGCGTAGTACCTCCAGGCCTGCCGGCAGTTCGAGGGCTTCCACATGCAGCAGGGCAGGTTTGGTGATTGGGGCAGGGTGGAGGGGCGTGTCTTGCATTCTGGAGGGCATTGTATGTGGCTTGATCTTGCGGATGAGACATGAGATTCGAGTCCCATTCCTCCAACTGTAGCAGCAGACTGTCAACGATTGCTTTTCGGTCCCGAGCATGCTTGATGGAAATTTTTTTGACTTGCTCTCTTAGCTGTGCAGTCCCTTCATTGAACCATTTAACGATCGACCCTTCGCCCGGTTTCTGTGTGATCTAGTAGGCCCAGAAATCCTTGACAAGCTGCTGAAACGAGTGAGCCTGAGGAGAGATGTGTTGAACTTAAAAGTGACCTGGGCCCCTGGGAGTGAAAGGACAGACCCAGTGCTATCATGCGATGGTCAAACGACTTGCAGGATGAGAATGGTAAAATTTCTGCTATAGTGAGAAGCCCTGCCCAGTCTTTTGAGCGGACAAGCAGATCTATTCTGGAGTTGGAGATTCCTGCCGCTCCCCGAGACCTAACGCAAGTGTAGGCTCGTTTTGTGGGATACATCTGTCTATAAGAGTCAATGAGGCCAGTGTCTGTCATCATGTGGCTTAGCATGTTGCTATCTCGACCATTGTCTCTGTGCTGATGTGCACCTTGTGTTTGTTGTGACGGGGATCTTCTATCCAGGTTCGGATCTATAGTGGTGTTGAAGTCCCCACACATAACGATGGGAGCATCTGTCGGGAGGGAGTTTTGAAGTGTCCAGAAAAACCGGACTCGCTGTGCAGGATCATTAGGAGCATACACACATATCAGATAGGTCAGTTTAGTCCCCAACACGGCTTTTACCCACACCCACCTTCCTTCTTCCTTATCCCATTCTGCTTGCAATGGTTGCAGTCTAGATGAGGGGGGGATCCAGATGGCCACACCCATAGAGGAGGAGGATGGGGCAGGGGTTGAGAATGATGTATATGGCCATACCTGGACAACCCTGTCCCGGTGAGTGGGGGAGTCTGTGAGGTGTGTTTCCTGTATTCCTATGGCATCGGGCCATTTCCCTCCCAAGTCTTGTGTCATCATTGCCCAAAGCGCCGCCTTTTTTTGGTCATTTGGTTGGGCCAGTCCATTAACATTAATGGATCTGATGTCTAGGTCCGCCTCCGCGAGCTTTTTAGCCCATGCCGGCTGTTTTCTCAGCGGAGGTGGGGGCCGCGGCGGGGCCGGCCACTGGGGCGGAGCAGCGTGTTGTTGAGGTTGCGAGTCATTCTGCGTTGGCTGCTGGTTGGGTTCTATTGGTACTAATATCTTCATGTCCCTTCTTGTGGGATCCTGTCGGGACTGCGAGTTCGGAACCCTGTTACGGTGGCTGTTTGTTTCCATGAATATGATATTCAGGGGGAAACTGTTGCCCCTGCAGTGAGGCTATTAATGAAGGGCAGATCATCCCAAGCTCTGTGTTCATCTAGCGCCGCGTCTTCCAAAATCAGCAATTCCTATACCAGATATACAACAGTACACTTGAAAAGGGGTCCCTACCCCCCAACCTGGTGAAAGGGGTGGTCTCCCTGATGTACAAGAAAGGAGATAAGTGTGAGGTAAAGAATAATCGTCCAATATCCCTGTTGAATGTCACCTACAAAATCCTAGCCAAGGCCCTGGCTATTAAACTGGCCTCGAGCCTGCCAAACCTGGTGGGCTGGGAACAAGGGGCGTTCGTCAAGGGGAGGTCTATCTTCGAGAACATTCTGGCTACCGTTCAAGCATTAGAGGTAATCAGTGCGGAAAAAAGAGAGGTCGTCGTTCTGATGCTAGACATGGAGAAGGCCTACGATAAGGTGGGCTGGGCCTTTGTCTCAACAACATTGGCCAAAATGGGATTTGGTAGCAGGTTCGCTAACTGGATTCACGCTATGTATGCAAATGCTACCGCGGTGGTGATGGTGAATGACCACCTCTCAGAGGAATTCCCCCTAACCAGATCCTTGCGACAAGGCTGCCCATTGGCGCCTCTGCTGTTTGTCCTACAACTAGAAGTCCTTTTAGATAATATCAGACACAATCCCGAAATTGTAGGCCTTAGATTAAATTCGACCTTTGAATGGAAAAGGGGGGCTTTAGCAGATGACCTAACAGTCGCCTACGAGAACTCTACCGCATCCTTAGAGGAACTAAAATTAGTATTAGACGAGTATTGCCAGCTGTCTGAGGCTTCCATTAACTGGACTAAATTGGCGTATTTTTTACCATCACAGTTTGTACTCACGGTTGATTGGGGGCTCAGGGAGGTTCCAACAGAAAACTTAGAGAGATTTCTGGGAATTCAGGTTTCACTTACAGACTTCTCAAAGACCCAAGACCAGATACTGTCAGACATGGTCAAAGCAAGCCTTAGGATTCAAGGCTGGGTCAAGCACTACAAGCTCTCCATGTTCGGCAGAGCCCTGATCTTGTCGGCGGTAGCATTCTCGATTCTCTGGTTCCCCCTCTCCATTTGCCTACTGGGACAAGAGGCTTGCTCGACCATCAGAACAGCGGCGGCGAGATACCTTTGGAAACTAGGGGCGGAGGAGGGCGAGGGATACATCACTGAAGTCGCTTGGGACACCACATGCTTCCCCCGTGATGAAGGGGGCTTGGGACTTCAGGACCCCCAGCTGCAAAACTTAGCATTGCTTGCCAAATGGGTGATCAAAGCACTGTTTGAAGACCCTACCAAGTTATGGGTCCGCCTGGCAGAATACATATTACAGAAGGAGTGGACGCTGTCAAGTCCGGGAGATGTATGACAATGCATCCTAATCCCATCATACCTGAACAAAAGAACTAAATCCAGGTTATGGAGAGGTATTCTTTGAGCGTGGAAGAATATATGATCTCCAGAAGCCCTCCATCCACCAGGCACAAAGAAGGAAATTGCAGACCAGTGCTTATTCGAAAACACGTTGATCCTTTCACCAGAAGGAGGCAGCTTCATGGCCACAGATGGAACAGGTGATTTCGGGAAGGCATGGGTGGAAAAAGGGATCTTCCTCATCAAACATATTTGGGACGAAGAAACAGATGAATGGATATCGGAAGAACAGCTGAGACAAAATCTACCACGGCTGCGCTCCGTATCTGAAAACAGAAACAAGATAATTGAAGCTATTCCATACCAGTGGGCACTAACTCTCAGCAGCTCGGCTGAACACGCATCGGGTACTTGGATGCGCTCAGAGGAGGACGAGTCTCTGGTGTGGAGACTGACAGGGCCTGACTTGAGGGGGGGGAGGAGGGTGGAAGAGTGGAGAGAAGGGACCTCGGTTAAAAGGGGGGTGCAACTAATAAAACTCCAAGACATAACTGTTCAATCCACAATAGGACTCCAAGAGCTTCGTGTAATACAGTTTCAGAAACATACTCTCCTACTGGGAGAAGCAGACTCCTTCCGGGTGGAACCCCTCCTGTTGGGCTGGCGTCAGGGAGATAGAGAGATCCTCAACCCTATCCCATTATGTCACTATGCCCCGAGGGTAGGAGTGAAATCTATGAGACTGAGATGGAAACAAGAAAACTCCCCTACTGCACTGGCAAACATGAGATATATGAAGATAAACGGGTCGGCGGCAGAAGCTCCTAACTGACAAGCTTTGTGGAAGGCCCTGAAGAAGCTACCAGCTCAACGGGATTCCAGCGTGCTATGGGCTCAAAGTTTACAGATAATCCCAACTGCCCTCTGGCTGGCAGCAAGAGGGATGGATTTGCCTCACATCTGCAGCAGGTGTAGATGGGGGTGGGAGTCAAACACTCACCTGTGGGTTTATTGCCCACTATCAGATACTCTGTGGCAATGGTGGATAGAGCTCTGGAGGGCCTGCGCCGGGGAAGCTTTTCCCTGGTCGGACAACTGGATTCTGTATGGTGGACTGCCAGACCACAGCTACAGCTACACGGAAGCCTGG